GTGCCTTAACATGATCATCCTCCGTAGATGTTTGTGTCCTAATCACTCCTTATAATGAAACGAGTCATATTGGATTAGGACCCACCCATAGACTTCATTTTAATTTAATCACCTCTTTAAAGACCCCATCTCCAAATACAGTCACATCTGAGGTACTGAGGGTTAGCACTCTGACATATGAATTTTGGGGAGACACAATTCAGCCCTTAACAAGATGACATCCAGAAGAATGAAACACAACTAGATCAGCAGGAAAAATGCTGTTGACTTCTCTTTCCCTCCTCCCTCTAGTCCTTTTTCCTACTGACCACCTTGCCGATATTCTCCTCAAAGTTCCCTTTATGATGATTGTCCACAAGGCCCATTTAAAGCGGCTTTGAAGGGAGGGCTGAGAGAAGGACACACAGTCTAATTTACCGAGGCCATTCCTCAGAAGAGGCGGCAGCTGGTCCTACCCCCAGGGAAGGCAAGGGGCCACCCTGTACCTTGGGTTGCTTTGTGCCCTTTCCCAGCAGGTATAGAAGTGGATGTCCTACACTTCAATCACTCTGCTATTTTCAGGATTCGGTCAGGATTCCTAGCTGTGTGCCGGAGTTCCAAGAATACAAAGACGAACAAGAGACAGTTTCTTCCCTCCTGGAGCCCAAAGGCTGGTGGGAAAGAAGGATCAGCGGTTACTGCTGGTTTTGCAGTAAATTGGCAGCAATCATTCAAATCCTAATGGCTCAACAAACGTTGTGTCGGACCTTTTCCAAGTGTCACCTGAAAAGACTGTCTCTCAGTGTTATGACGTGGCCCTCTCTGATTGTGCACCAGTTCCCCTTTTTTACAAATGACAATGTCCCCAAGACTTCCCCAAACACTTCACCTGCACAGCCACCCTAGGAAGTCAACACCACTCTCCACCCTTAGAGATCAGTCAGCCGAGCTTCAGAGGGGGTTACGTCAGCCTTTTTCAAACAGAACGGAATCACATCGCTGTTCGCTGGCTCTGCAGATGGCTTCTTAGATGAGGAATTTTTTCCCTCAGATAATCTTAAGTGGAAGCTGAATATGTAATCAGATAAAGGCGGAGATGTTCTGGTTGAAGGAGGAACACTTTCTACTTTATGATCCACACCTGCTCCCAGGACCCAGAAGCACCCCGGAAAGTCCCAAGGGACCCAAAGAAGGTTGGAATGTAGCCTCTAGCTGGGTGGCCATGGACTAAGCAAAAACTATTATATTTCAGAGGTAACATTTTAATTGGATTTGTTCAGTTCGAGACGCTCCTTAGACAGTTGGATAAATTAGTTTGGAACTCAGAGGAGAGGTGGGACTTGGAGACATGAATTTGGGTGTCGGTGGCGCACAAATGGTGTCTTACTGTCTAGGGATCACTGAGGTCGTCTAGGAGAAGGCGTGGAGAAAGGATAATAGAGGATCTCGGACTGAACCCCACAGCACTCCGATCCCAGAGGTTGAGGAGGTGAGGAAGATGCAGCAAGGAAGACTCAAGGAGAGTCTGCTTCAGGCAAGCCAAGTAGAGAGAATGTTTCAAAAAGGAGGAAGTGACAACCGTGCCAAATCTGCTGAGAGACCCACAGACGAGGCCATAATAGTGACTATTGGCGTGCAGCTGTTCCTTGGTCCCTTTGATGAAAGCAGTCTAGTGACGCGCGAGGGATGGGGACTGATGAGATTGATTCGCGGGGGGTGTAGTCGGAGTACCGTTAGATTATGCTGGGTAACAACTCACCCTTGAAATCTCAGGGGCTTAACACAACGAATGTCTATTTGATGCTTAAATTAAGCCTGCTGCGGGTCTGGTGTCTTCTAATTATGCCTTATAGTATCTACATTCTCTATCTTGTAGCTATGCCATCTAACATATTTCAAAGGTCACTGCAGGAAAAGAGAGAGAGAGATCTTTTACTTACTCTTAAATCCCCTGGACCAGAACTAGTCCTTTGACCAGAGCTAGTGGTATGGCCCCATCTAACTGCAAAGGTCTGTAAGTCTTCCCAGGTACCCGGAGGAGAACCAGCCCTGGAGACCTCATGTAACTTTTACCGCAGGGAGTAATGGATGTGAGAGATGGAGAGAGTGACCAGAGAGAGCTCTTCCAAGATTTTCCATGAGGACAGTGGCTGGAAGGGGACAAAGAGTCAAAAGAGAGTATTTTAAAGATGCTCATGGACAAGGTTCAGTAGAGAGGGAGAAACTAATGGTGCAGGAAGCCGAGATAAACGTAGATGTGAAGTCAGCACTTGAGCAGGCCAGAGGACGCGACTCTGAGCTGAAGAGGAAGTTTGCCTCCAGTAAGAACAGGGACCTTGCTTCTTTTTAAAAAAGAGAAGTCAGAGAGTGTGCGCAGAGGTTGGTGGTTGGTAGAATAGGTGGTAAGGAAGAGATGAGGTGGTTCTCATCTAAGTGCTTCTATGTTCTCAGGCATCACAAGCTGAGAATGAGGGTGGGAGGGAGGGGAAGTTGGAGGTTTGAGAAGACAGGTGAAGGTTGGCTGCCTAATTTCTGCCTACTTATGGCTTGGATGTCACAATTCCAAACCCCTCTTCTGCCTCACTTCAGACACTCTTGGCCTTGCCCAGTCTTGTCCTTGCTGCCATAATGTGACTGGTTCTCTGATGGGGTCCGGCTGAGTTCACCCTGATGCACATGACAGAGCTCATCTGGGATCACCTCTCGTCCCTCTTGTCTCCTGCCCCAGGGACTCCCCTTAGTACTACCAACACCCAGCTCAGAAACACGGGGGAGCTACAAACCTTCACCCAGTAGAGACAAGAGCTTGTAGAGAAGTACCTCCCCTTCTCCTTCCCGGACAAGCCTGATGCATAGTTTATGGGTGTTTATATGTTTTCTCCCATTCTCTAGGTTGCCTTTTCATTCTATAGGTTGTGTCCTTTGATGAACAGAAGTTTTTAATTTTGATGTAATCCAATTTGTTTGTTTTTTCTTTTGTTGCCTGTACTTTGGTGTCATATTCATGAAATCATTGCCAAATCCAATGTCATGAGGCTTTCCCCCCATTCTCTTCTAAGAGTTTTTACAGTTTTACCTCTTAACATTTAGGTCTTTGATTCATTCTGAGTGGAAACAACCCAAGTGTTCATTAACAGATGAATGGCTAAACAAAGTGTGATATTTTCCTACAATAGATTATTATTTGGGCATAAAAACAAATGAAGCACTGATACATGCTACCCCATGGGTGAACCTTGAAAACCTTGTGCTAAGTGAAAGAAGCCAGACACAAAGACCACATATTGTGTGATTCTGTTTGTATGAGATGTCCTGAATAGGTAAATCCGTAGAGATAGAAAGTAGATTAGCGGTTGATGGAGGCAGAGGAGAAGAGGAAATGAGAGTGACTGCCAGGCGTTATGGGGTTTCTTTTAAGCTGATGAAAATATTCTGAAATTAGATAGTAGTGATGGTTGCACAACTTTGTGAATATACTAAAAAACACTGAACTGTATACGTTAAAAGCGTGAATTTTATGTTACATGAATTATTTCTTAATTAAAATTAAATAAAAATAGAATAAAATTCTATTGTCTGAATAAAGTCCTACGTGCACCTTTCTCAGAAATGTTTGACTTTATTACAACAAACCAACCACATAATACTTGCAAATCTCCCATGATAATCTGTCCAAATATTGTGCTTTCTCTTAATTTTTTCTTTTTTTTTTTTTGGTGAGGAAGATTGGCTCTAAGCTAACATCTGTTGCCAATCTTCCTCTTTTTCCCTCAGGAAGATTATCCCTGAGCTAACATCTGTGCCAATCTTTCTCTACTTTATATGTGGGAAACCACCACAGCATGGCTTGATGAGCTGTATATAGGTCTGTGCCTGGGATCTGAACCCACAAACCCCGGGCCACCAAAGCAGAGTGAGCAAATTTCACTACATTACCGGGCCAGGCCCTCCTAAATTTTTTGAGTATATAACATACATACAATGAAGAGCACAAACCTTCAGTAAACAGCCCAATGAATGTTTGTGTATGTAGGCTCTGGGAAACCTTCACCCAGATCAAGAGGATATAGAACATTCCGGCACTGTGAAAGGCTCTTTCTTGGCCTCTCAGTAACAAGCACTCCATATGCACCTCCACCCTGAACAGTGGTTACCGTACTGTCACTCTAGATTAGTTTTGCCTCTTCTTGAGCTTCAGAGAAACAGGATTATAAACTCCCGTCTCTGGCTTCCAGCCCTCCGTGCCACGTCTGTGAGATTCACTGTGGTGTTGCACGTGGCTGTAGCTCAGTCGTTTCATTGCTGTTTTGCGTTCTATTATATGAATAACCACAGTTTATCCATTCTACTATTGATGACATTTGGGTGTTTGCAGTTGGAGGCCGTTACAAATAAAGCTTACTTCTCAATAGTAATATTATTATAAAAGGACAAAGAAGGTTCTTCCCTTTGAGCCTGTCCAAAGGAGATTCGAACTTATGCTTGGAGGTCATTGTTGCCCGTTGTTTCTGCCCCAGGAGAGGCATCAAAAGGCCCCAACTCACCCCCTGCCTCTCATATGCTTTGAAGCAGATGTCTGGTCCCAAGCAAAACACTGAGTCAGCCTCCTCAGCCGGGGGAGGGTCAAGTCTGCTCAGACATGTTAAGAGAGAAGAAATTTCGCAAGCATTTGGCTCAGCTCATGTACTAATACTAAATGCTGAGTAACATAGAGTAGAAAATTAAAAGGCAGCCAAATAACCCTTTGGCTCACCAGTAAGTCTCTTGAGGTATTCTGAAAGCTTCTTTTTCTTAAGTTTATTTCAAACCAGCTAAAACCGAGGCCTGGCTAGAAGGCTAGGATTTTGACTTGCCCGATACAAGGCTTTTCCTCCTTCCTCAGCTGAGGAGCGAGGATTCTAAGACTTTTTTGAAGGACCCTTTGAGACCTGGAAGTCCTGGCTGCCACCTGCTGATTGCAGCTTCCAGGCAGGGGCCTCTGGGGGCTGGGGACGCCCTGTGTGATGTCACAGGGCTCTGTGAGGCGGCTCCGTGAGTGCTGCCTTTTGAGCACGACCATGCATGCAGGGCAGCCCAGTACAATCAAGTCTTTGCTCAAAATCCAGGCACCGTAAAGTCAGCCATTCAGAAAAAAATCCGTTTTTCAGATCATTCCGCACAGACTCCTGCCTATTTTCTCCTCGGACTCAGCCTGCAAAATACATCGATGACAAAGCAGTGGACGCAATCGTCTCAGTGGTAGGCGGGTGAGCTTGTTGGGCTGAAAAGCGGGACAGAGATGTTGGGGGCTCCTTCCACCGAGGATCAATGGAAGAGGCGCATTAGATCACTGAATCTTGAATGTGAGGCTGGCTCTGGGGATTAAGATTAAGAAGACCTGCTTTTCTAAAAGGGGTTACAGCTATCAGGCTGGACGGTGCCACCCTAGGGGTAGACTGGGTATTGTAGTGGCTTTAGTTCTTGAAGTTAAGACCAATTTTCATTATATACCCCTTTATATTACATACCCATTATATACCCTTCTTAAGATTTATATCAAGTGAATATATTACTTATTCAAAAACACTAAATAGAAAAAAGCCCTGTGTGGTATCATAGATCTTATGTGAAAATCATAGATCTTATATGGAAATCCATATTAAGATTGTCCCAGGAAAGCAAGAGATGAGAGATACTGATTATTTCTAGAAAAATCAGTTATGACATTATCTAAAGCATGGGTATGTTTTCCTGACTCTAAAAACTCTCATTTTGAAACAAACTTGTGGCTGTCCATCCAGATTTAGTTCAGGGTCTTGGTTTTCAGAGTGTGCATGTATGCGTGTGCGCATGCGTGTTGGCAATTATTAGCAGCATCCTTTTCTTCTTTCCTGGATTCTTTTAATTAACTCTTGGGGGTTTTTAGTGCTTCTAAATTTTTATTTGCTATAAGTACAAGTAAATCATCCTTGAAATACGTTTTAAAGATTAATTCTGTATTTTTCTAGCACGTGAATTCAACATATTTTAGTGGAGAAAATAATTGAACGCGATTTCCTTCTGAGGGTCCAGAGTTGAAAGTCGCAGCCCTCCTTAGATCTGTCTCCTCAAGATCTATCCCCTGGTAGGAGAGGTTTTCTGCGTTTTGTGGGAGTGTGGGCGTGGGTATGGGGCGTGGAGGAGGAGGACGTGCATATTCCAGAGAACAAGGGAAGCTCTTCTTTAAGGAAATGTAATATGGGGGCGGGCCCCATGACTGAGTGGTTAAGTTCACGAGATCCGCTTCCAAGGCCCGGGGTTTCACTGGTTTGGATCCTGGGCGTGGACATGGCACCGCTGGTCAGGCCATGCTGAGGCGGCGTCCCACATGCCACAACTAGAAGGACCTACAACCAGAATATACAACTATGTACCAGGGGCTTTGGGGAGAAGAAGAAGGAAAAAAAAAAAGATTGGCACCAGTTGTTAGTTCAGGTGCCAATTTAAAAAAAAAAAGAAGGAAAGGAAAGAAAATGTAATATAAGGAACTTGAGTTAGTGAAATAATAAAATTGGGAAGAGGGTATTTTCATAAGTATTTACATCTAAAGGGAATTTTCCCGTAAATTTTCTTAATATAGTAGAATCCTTCTAGAGAATATGGATTTATTTTCTTTTTCAGTAATAATCCTATCATACAAAGTCCTGTGTGTATTTTATAAATTAAATTTGGTTGCCTCCCTTCACCTATTTTCTCCTTTAACTGGTTTCTAATTGCTTCTGGTTTTTGGAGAAAGTTAAAACAGAAGTTTCTCAAAATGTAGACATTTAATAGGAAGATGCGGTGGTAATGTAAGTTTAAACAGCTTCATTCTCTTTTCAGCTTTTAGTTCACCCGTTTCCCCTAGTTAGAAGTTATCTTCCTTATACATTTGATGCTTTTTCTTTGCATAATCAAAGGTCTTATTTCTAAAGTGTTATTCATGCAGTCAATGAGCCTTTACCGTGCAGTCAGGATCTTGGTCAGGGTATTAAATGCTGTGTCCTGGTAGAGTGCCCCTATATTCATAAACTCTGCCTAATTAAACTTTCTATCCTACCCCCTCCTTGGATCCAGAATTCTCAGGACTCAGCCCGTGCACAGCCCCTGACTCCAGCTGGGTGGTGAGGCCTGCTTCTACAGTGCCTTGAGGAGCACCCTCTTTCCTCCCTGAGCAGGCTGTGCTGTAACCTGACCCTAGGCGTGATCTGGCGGCCAGGAGGGGTCTTGTGGATGCTGCTGAAGGAGGGCGTGTGTTGCCTTGCACAGGCAGAGGCGTCTGGATCCTCCTCAAGCAGAGGAGGAGAGCTAGCCTTTAACAGGGAGAAGTGGGCCATTTCTGTGGGCCCAGAGGGTCCCCATGGATCTAGGGTTTCCGATGTGCCTCCACCCACACATCCGCATCCTGAGTCTCAGTCTCTCTCCTTCGCTGGATGGAAGACTGGCCAGGGTTGAGAAGTCAACCCTCCCTGGAGCTCATCTGCCCTTATACCAAGCCCTGTGCATGATTCCCGGCCTGCCCCACCATTTGGCTGTAGGAGATGAGAGTCTCTATATGCTGCTAAAGAGGCCCACTTACCATGACTTTTTGCCTTAAATTGGGGACTAATCACCCTCAGCCTTTCATTGCCTTTCTTAGCATCCAACAAGAGCCATCTGATTCCCTGGTATTTATAATGACTACCCCCTGCCCTCATCTCTCAAAGATGCCAATCAGAACATTCCTTACCACCAATGTTCCATCCCAGTTCACCACCAGTGAAGTTTTAACAAGTACACTGCCTCAGCATGCCAGGGGCTATTAGAACGCTGCCTTTCCACCAGCAATGGGGTCCTCGGGGCCAGGCACCGAGGGGTGACCCAGCAGCCCCCAAATCCCATTTTAGAGTCTGTTTCCCAGGACCACCCCCACTACCAACTGTGGTGGGTCAAGTTCTCCAGGAAATAGACTCTGAGACTGAGATTTTCAGGCAGGCACTTTAGTGGCATTGGTTTGGGGACAACACCTGCAAGTGAGGGAAACTGGATCAAGCAAAGGAAGAGAGGGGCACTGTGAGTGGTTGCAAGAGGGGCCTCTGCCAATCCCCTGGGCGGCTCTGGGCCGGATGGATCTTCAGAGTCGCCCCACATTGAGACAAGGGGGTTGGACCCATCAACCACTCAGAGTAGGAGTTCCCTCAGGGAGGGGGAGGGGGAGCCTTGGGCAAAGCAGCTTGCTTCCACCAAAGGTAATTCTGGGGAAGGGACTCAGCTGCCAATACTCCTGGCAGTAGGGGGAATAGGGGTCCCAGCCCTGAGGGGTGACCTGGTGGCATCGCACAGCACCATGCTGAAGACATTGTATCCAGGTCTCTTCGAGGGGCAAGGGGCTGTTTTGGTGGTTTGATACCATGGAATTCGTCTGGGTGCTGGGTTTTGTCAGCAGTACGGGTTTCCTACATGAACAAGAACAGTAAGAGCTGGAATGCGTATACAAACTTGTTCCTAGGGAAGGCCTAAGGTCAAAATCGTAGAAGCCAGAGTCAGAGAAAGGATAAAAATGGGAGACAGTCCTCAATGTTCAAACGCCAGGAAGACACTAGAAAGAATCGGGGCTTGAGAAGGAGGAAGACCCGGAGCAGAAGGGCCTAGACTGAAGGTGAAGCTGGACAGCTTGAGGCACATTTCATTGATTACATTTTCCACGCACTGGGGTTGTCATGGGACTTAGAGGAACCGGGACGGGAGAGACATATAGCTCTGTTCCTGTGTTTACCGGTACTGATGCTATTGGATAGGCACAGCTTATGTTCCTTTCTAATCTTTGTTTTAAAAATGTTTGTCATAGTAATGCATACGTATAAAAAAATAAAAACAAAATCTTCAAAAGAAAGTCAGCAACCTCCTGCCCAATTCCTGCCTTAACCCCCAGTTCAACTCTCTAAAAGTGTTACCTCCCAGGGTGGGGGTTGGGGTGTCATCTGCCCACTTCAAGACCTGCCAATAGTCAGGAGGCAAGGGGGTCAGGAGAGGAAGGGTTTCTTTCTTACAGCTTGCTAGCAGGAGGGAAGAGGCCGACTCATGTCCGAAAGAACCATCTTACAGAACAAAGACTACAGGCCAGTGATGTACGGGGCTGGTTTCCAGGTCGGGGAGGCGCCTGGTCTCCGGGTGAGGCAGACATCTGGTCTTAGTTCCTGATAGTCCTTTTGTTTTATTGGATATGCATCAGAGACCAGAACAGACCGGAACCGTGATCTTTCAGTAGTCATTGATGATGGCTATCAGCATAGGCTCTCTCCCTGGGGGGTCATCACATTCCTAGAGAACTCAAAAGAATAAAGTTATCATCTTATTGCAGCTGGCAGGGGCCAGAAAATCTACAGAGCGTGGCTGGGCTAGTTAATCAGGGGTCATTTAAAGTGACAATATGGTTTCTTTTCTACAATATGGCTTCCCTTATGTCAACCGTGTGTTGAGCTGGTATCAAAAGCAACGACTTTCAACTCCTTAATCTCTTTCTTGTGACAATTACTTTCACATTTTAAATCATATTCTTAGACTTCTATTTCTTGGTTTATTTTATACATAAACTTCATTTTTCTTAAATGACTTCCATGTTTTTTTAGCTTATTTTCCCAATGAATCTATGTGATTTTTTGGTTAATACAGCAATCAGTGTTTAGATGTTTATCACTCTACAAATATCGCTCCTTAATTTTTACCATCAGGTGTGCTGTCTGCCTACACTTCTCCATCCCAAATAATCCATCAGAGCTGATATTTTTTTTACCAATCTCTTTTTTGGGGTGGGGGTGGAGCCCCCACAGCTCAGCACCAGCCTCTGTTCCAGTCTCAGCTGGTTGCTGTCTAGGCCATTGCACAGACATCCTTGGAGACTTCTCTGCCTCTCTTGGGTTGGAGCCACCATTCAGGCTCCATGTTTGCTTTCTCTACTCTTTGTTTCATTGGTATTTACAATCCACTCGCAGTTTCCCAAAAAAGCATACTTGGGGTGTAACTTTTGAGTCCTTTACAGATCTGAAAATATCTTTATTCCAATCTCAAGCTTGATTAAGTTTTGACTAGGTAAAGAATTCTAGGTGGAAAAGCATTTAGCTTAGAATTTTGAAGCCATTTCTCCATAGTATCTCAGAATCCAGTGTTGCTGTTGAGAAATTTGAGATCATTCTGATCCTTTTCATACACGTCAGCTGTTTTCCTGCCTCTGGGAGCTTTTGGGATCTTTTTACATTCATTGTATTGGGTATTCTGTGGGCCCTTTTAGTTCTAGGGAAAATGCATTAGTTATTTGATCATTTCCTCTCCTCCATTTTTCTCTGATTACTTTTTGGAACTCTTTTTGCTAGTTGGATGTTATACCTCCTAGATGAAATATCTTATCTGATGAGGATTACTTTGGGCTGGTTACTTTTAAAAACTACAGACAGGAAGGAGGCTCTGAGGAGTGGAATTTGCTTGCCCTTTGATGAGAGACATTTGCATTTGTGAAGGAAGCCTCCATCTGTGGGGGTGTCTCTCTCTCTGCACCAGGAGGAAGGGGGGATGACCTTATTTCTAGAAACTCTTAATGGAGACGGCAAGGATGTCTTGTTTATTGTGCTTGTCTGGTAACCTCATGTAGCTGACTCCCCCCACCACCAACATCCTCCAGGAAGCATAGAACATCCTGACTTAATCCAGTCTGATTCTTATCTAAAGTTATAGGACCACCCAATAACCAGACCCCACCTGCACTGATACCATTGTAATGACTTTTTTTTTGCATATTCTTTCCTTTGTCTTATAAGGCGATAACTCACATACCTATGCCTTAAATTTAGCCCTACCCTCAACCCACGTTTGCAGCAGCTCTTTACTGCCCATGGGTCCTGTCCCCATGCTATTCCATACTATTCTCTGAATAAAAGAGCACTACTGCCAGACCTTGAGAGTCCAAGAAATCTTTCTTTCAACTCTTCAGCTCACCGACCCCACATCATTATCTTTCCTTTTTTTCTTGTTTTCCCTCTCTCTGTCATTTTGTTGTGCACTCTAGAATATTCCTTTCCCACTATTTTCCAATCTTAAAATGATTTTTTCAATTTTAGCTATCACGGTTTAAATTTCAACAGCCTCTTTTGTTCTTTAATTGTTCCTTTTCCTTAGCCTTCTCTGGTTTTATGAATGTAATATCTTCTTAGCTGTCTCTGAGCAATCAAAATCAGTGTTTCGATTTTTTGAAAGCTCTCATTTGTTTCTTCCCCTTTTCTGGTTCGATTTATGTTTTCCTCCTTTCTGGAGACTTTCCTCAAATGCCTTGGTCAATCCTTGGCATCTGTATTAGTTTTCTGGGGCTGCGACAATAAAATACCATAGACTGGGGGGCTTAAACAACAGAAATTTATTTTCTCACACTTCTGGAGGCGTGGGAGTCCAAGATCAAGGTGTCGGCAGGGTCGGTTTCTTTGGAGACCTGGCAGATGGTCTTCTCTCTGTGTCTTCATACGGTCTTCTTTCTGTGTCTGTGTCCTGATCTTCTCTTCTTATAAGGACACCAGTCAATTGGATTAGGGCCCCACCCATATGATCTCATTTAAACTTAATTACCTCTTTAAAGACGCTCTCTCCAAATACGGTCACTGGGAGTTAGTGCTTCAACATAGGATTTTGGGGGGACACAATTCAGTCCATAACAGCATTCCCTTCCAATTGAAAAGTGAGACACTAACCCGCTGACTAGAATCTCTGGTGTTTGTCTGGCACCGGCCATAGATGCGCTGCTTTCAAGGTGACATGTGAGGCATCAGCTGCTCTCTTGGGCACTCCTACATTTCAGTACAGTGGAGGTCTTTCCTCCAGGGCCTATCTTCTCATCATAAAATAATTCTTCCTTCTCCTACCTCGGGTATAGCAACCTGGCTGCCAGGATCCCGGGCGTGAGGCAGGAAAGAGGATTGAGTGATCCAATTCTTTCCTATCCAAGTGACCCCCTTGACTGCAGCCCTAAGATTCCCTCCATAGGGGCTGAGCCTCTACAGTCCCATTTCTCCAGTGAGGAAATTGCCAGGCTCCCGTCTTGACTTTTCTGTGCAGGGAGGGGTGAAGAGAGCTGACAGTTCTATGCATACACTTGTCCTTTCCCAAAGCCTCCGCATGCGTCACCTGATACACCTGTGTCTCAAGCTCCGAGCTGCTCTGGGGTCTGCTAGGCTCATCTCCACTTCAGACTCCTCTCTCTGCACACTTGGAGGTGTGCTGTCCTCTGTCTTTCCAAATCGTTATCACACGTCCCGTAGCTGCCTGTCTTCCAAATCTGTGTTGAAATCTCCTGTGCATTGATGTTCCCTCGACCACTCTTTTCCCAGGAGAGTTTTCAGCTTTATTTTTATTTACATTTGCGTCAAGAGGAGAGGAAGAGACACATGTATTCACTCTATCATCTTTGAAGGAAGCCTCTCAAGACTTTCTTTTCCTTCTTTTTTGATAAATTATGAAATATTTCAAACATAAGGGAAATACAGAGGAAAATATCATGAACACTTTGTACACATGATCAAGCTTTATCAAACCTCATGATGTTGCCACATTTGCTTCAGAGCTTTTTAAAAAATAAGCATTGAGGACATAGTAGGAGCTCTTTGTTCTCCTCCCCAAAGCCCTCCGTCATGGAGGTCGTCACTATCCAAAATTGGTGTAGACTATTCGCATGCATGCCTTTTCCCCCAACGTTTGCTGTATACGGGTATATCCGTAAACAATCGCACTCCTTTTCTTGTTTTCCAAATGTATATAGGTAGCATCATACCCTACTTGTTTTTTGTGCAACATTATGTTTTTTAGATTTTACAGAATTAATACATGTAGCTCCAGTTGATTCATTTCCAGTGTTGAGTGAGTAGCCTCACTTTATCAATTCTCCTGTTGAGGGAAACTTAGGTTGTTACATAGTTTCTATTATAAACAGTATTTCAATAAACATTCTTGCACATATCTCCTGATGCGTATGAAGGTCTCTTCAGGGTATTCTTAGGGATGGAATTTCCTCAGCACACACAGTCCCCGAGTTACGATAGTTCAACTTAAGATTTTTCAATTTTATGATGCTTTGAAAGCAGTAAGTAGTCAGTAGAGACCGTACTCTGAATTTTGAATTTTGATCTTTCCCTGGGTGGGTGGTATATGATACAATCCTCTCTCGTGATGCTGGGCTGGGCAGCAGCCATAGCTCCCAGTCAGCCCCACAATCATGAGGGCAAACAACCACTACACTTACAACCATGCTGGACCCATCAACCACTCTGTTTTCACTTTCAGGACAGTATTCAATAAATTACATGAGTCATTCAACACTTTATTATAAAACAGGCTTTGTGTTAGATGATTTTGGCCAACTGTGGGCTAATGTAAGCATTCTGAGCACATTTAAGATAGGCTAGACTAAGCTAAGATGTTCAGGTTAGGTGTATTAAATGCATTTTTGACTTGATATTCTCAACTTAGGGTGGGTTTATCGGGACTTACCCCCATCATAAGTCAAGGAAGATCTGTATACCATACTATAAATTTAAATTAACTGGATATTGACAAAATGGTTGTACATTTCACACTCCCATTAGTGGGACCACGGTTCTCATTACCCACTTTCTTACCGGCATGTGATATTGTATGTTTTTACATTTTTAACAATCTGATTGGTGTTAAATCAGATTTTTGAAATAGAGACCTATACCATCACTCCAAGACGGACTGAACATGTATAAGGGATGGGTAAATCTCCTTTCACATTATTTCCTTTAGCTGTATGCTCAGAAGTAGGGGCCAATGACTTTAAATGATATTGTATGGTTTTTTTTGTTTGTTTGTTTTGTTTTGTTTTGTTTTTTTAAAGATTTTATTTTTTCCTTTTTCTCCCCAAAGCCCCCCGGTACATAGTTGTGTATTCTTCGTTGTGGGTTCTTCTAGTTGTGGCATGTGGGACGCTGCCTCAGCGTGGTCTGATGAGCAGTGCCATGTCCGCGCCCAGGGTTCGAACCAACGAAACACTGGGCCGCCTGCAGCAGAGCGCGCGAACTTAACCACTCGGCCACGGGGCCAGCCCCGATATTGTATGTTTTATAAGCATGTTGTATGTTTTGATATTAAGCAATCTTATGAATATCAGTTTTGTTTTTGCTAATAGAAAAAAGATACACTTTATCTTCTCAAAGTATATGGTAAGCACTGATATCAAATTATTGTTTTCAAAACACTGAAAATTGAATTTAAGCCAAATAGATGATCTATCAACCATTGAAATATCTAATACAGCTTCTCTTAAATCCTTCTGATTTAGGAAGTTGAAAATGGACCTTCAAAAATGCTAGATTTACAATGAGAAATGTCATAATTCAATGTTTATTCTACGCATCCTTGACATTTGGGATCCGGACAGCTCTGTTATCTATATATTTTCACCGTAACCATGTGAGCAACCAGCAGAGAAAAGTCCAAAAGCCGCCTTCAGTTTGGTCCCTTGAAAAAAAATTGCACCGGGAAATTAACCATGGCCCACAGCGGATGCCAAGACCACCTGTAAGAGTTGAACTGCCTGAGAGAGAGGAAATTGAAGAAGAGAGGCCATTTTTAAAATTAGGTGAGTATTTTTATTTTCTCTGTTAGCCATTTTAAGGGGAAAATATATCATAAATTTAATATTTGGAAGAGTAAGAGAATGTTCTTTTTAGAGAAAATCAATTTTTAAATTATGAAACATTTCATATAGATACAGGCATACCTCGGAGATATTGTGGGTTCAGTTCCAGACTACCACAATAAAGCAAATATTGCAATAAAGTGAGTCACATGAATTTTTTGGTTTCCCAGTACGTATAAAAGTTATGTTTACACTATACTGTAGTCTATTAAGTGTGCAACAGCATTATTTTTTAGCGTTAATTAAAAAATGTGCATACCTTAATCAAAAGATATTTTATTGCTAAGAAATGCTAACCATCGTCTGAGCCTTCAGCAAGTTGTAATCTTTTCGCTGGTGGAGGGTCTTGCCTCCATGTTGATGGCTGCTGACTGATCAGGGTGGTGGCTGCTGAAGGTTGAGGTGGCTGTGGGATTTCTTAAAACAAGACAAGGAAATTTGCTGCATCAATTGACTCTTCCTTTCACGAACAGTTTCTCTGTGGCGTGCGATGCTGTTTGATAGCATCTTACCCACAGTAGAACTTCTTTCAAAATTGGAGTCAGTCCTCTCAAACCCTGCCGCTGCTTTATCAACTAGGTTCATGTCCCATTCTAATCCTGTGTTGTTATTTCAACAACCTTCACAGCATCTTCACCAGGAGGAGATTCCATCTTAAGAAATCGCTTCCTTTGCTCACCCATGAGAGGCAACTCCTCATCTGTTAAAAGTTTTATCATGAGACTGCAGCAGTTCAAGCTCCACTTCTAATTCTAGTTCTCTTGCTGTTCCCACCACATCTGCAGTTACCTCCCCCACTGAAGCCTTGTATCCCTCAACGTTATCCATGAAGGTCGGAATCAATTTCTTCCAAACTCCTGTTAATGTTGATATCTTGACCTCTTTCCACGAGTTATGAATGTTCTTAAAGGCATCTAAAATGGCAAACCCTTTCCAGCTTTTCAATTTGCTGCAAAGATCCATCAGAGGAATCGCTGTCAATGGCGATATCAATTTCCTATAGAAAATGTTAGAAAATGTATTTCTTAAGTGATAAGACTTGAAAGTCAAAATTACTCCTCGATCCATGGTCTGCAGAATGGATGTTGTGTTAACAGGCATGAAACAACATTTATCACGTTAAGGTCTTGAGAGACCAGGTACATTGTGAATGAGCAGTAATATTTTGAAAGGAATCCTTTTCTGAGCACTAGATCTCAACAATGGGCTTAAAATATTCAGTAAACCATATTCTAAAGAGATGTACCATCATCCAGGCTTTGTTGTTCTGTTTATAGAGCACCGGCAGAGTAGATTCAGTATAATTCTTAAGGGCCCTAGGTTTTTCGGAATTGTAAATGAACATTGGCTTCAACTCTAAGTCACCAGCTGCATTAGCCCCTAACAAGAGAGTCAGCTTGTCCTTTGAAGCCAGGCATTGACTTCTCCTCTCCAGCTGTGAAAGTCCTAGCTGGATCTTCCTCCAATATAAGGCTGTTGCAGCTGCATCGAAGATCTGTTGTTTGGTGCAGCCGCCTTCACTGATTCTCTCAGCCAGATCTTTGGGGTAACCTGCTGCAGCTTCTACGTCAGCACCTGCTGCTTCACCCTGTATCTTTATGTCATGGAGACGCTTCTTTCCTTCAACCTCGTGAGCCAAGCTCTGTTAGCCTCAGACTTTTCTTCTGAAGCTTCCTCACTTCTCTTGGCCTTCACAGAATTGAAGAGAGCCAGGGCCTTCCTCTGGATTAGGTTTTGGCTTAAGGGAATGTTGTGGCAGGTTTGATCTTCTATCCAGACCACTCACCATTTGTGAGTTCACTGGAGTGGCACTGTTTTTGAAGAAGAGGAAGAAGAAGATTGGCCCTGAGCTAACACCTGTTGCCAATCTTCCTCTTTTTTTTCTCCCCAAAGACCAAGTACATAGTGTTATGTCCTAGCTGTAGGTCATTCTAGTTCTTCTATGTGGGATGCCACCACAGCGTGGCTTGATGAGAGGTGTGTAGGTCTGCACCCAGGATCCAAACCAACAAAACCCGGGCCACCAAAGCAGAGCTCGCAAACTTAACCACTCAGCCACAGGGCTGGCCCCAAGGAGTAGCACTTTTAATTTCCTTTAAGAACTTTTCCTTTGCACTCACAACATGGCTGCTTAACGCAAGAAGCCTAGCTTTCAGCCTATCTTGGCTTTCAACATGCCTTCCTCACTAAGCTTAATCATTTCTAGCTTTTGATTTAAAGTGAGGGATGTGCAACTCTTTCTTTCACTTGAACACTTAGCGGCCACTGCAGGGTTATTAATTGGCCTAATTTCAATATTGTTGTGTCTCAGGGAATAGGGCGACTGAGGAGAAGGAGAGAGATGGGGGAACTGCTGGTCAGCGGAGCAGTCAGAACACACACAGCATTTATCGATTAAGTTCGCCATCTTATATGGGCATAGTTTGTGGCACCCCAAAACAATGACAACAGTAACATCAAAGATCACTGCTCACAGATCACCATATCAAATATAATAATAATGAAAAAGTTTGAAGTATTGCAAGAATTACCAAAATGTGACACTGAGACAGGAAGTGAGCAAATGCTTTGGAAAAATGGCACCAGCAGACTTGCTTGATGCAGAGTTGCCAGAAATCTTCAATTCGTAAAAAGCACAATGTCTGCAAAGCACAGTAAGCAAAGCGCAATCAAATGAGTATGCTTGCGTGTAGAAAATAATAAAATAAACGTATATATTTACTACCTGAATTTAACAATTTTTTATATACTTTGTTATATTTGTTTCAGATAGCTTTGTGCTTTTTAAAGAAATAAATGTTAATATGTACAGTAAAAACCTCCCCCCCATTTCTTCTCCCTCCACCCTCAGAGATGGCAGTTAACCTTAATAGATGAGTATCTTTCTCACTTCCTCTATGTATTACTTCTAAACAAAACGTAATATATGTGTTTTTAATATACTTGCAGATAGTCTGCAATGAGTTGCAATGCTGCTATGAATATTGACGTGTGAGTCTTTGTATGGGCATATTTTATTCCTCTTAGCTGAATACCTAGGCACGGGACGGACAAGTCATATGGTAGGTGTATGCTTAACTTTAAAGAAATGACAAAATGTTCTCCAAAGAAAGGTGTGCCATTTTATATTCCCTGAGCAGCGTGTGAGAATCCCATTTTCTCCAGATCTTTGCAAACCCTTGACATGGTCAGATTTTTAGATTTTAGCCGTTCTAATGGTGCGTAATGGTATTGTTGTGACCTTAATTTGCATTTCCCCGATAACTAATGATTTTGCGTACCTTTTCATGTGCTTAATGGCCACCCATATATCTTCTTTTGTAAAGTGTCTCTTCAAGTCTTTTGTCCATTTTTAAATTGGGATGTTTGTCTTCTGATTTTTATGACTTTTTTGTACATGTTCTGGATTCAAGTCCTTTGATATGTGAGTTGCAAATATTTTGTACAAGTCTATGCCTTGTCTTTTCACTCTCTTTTTTTTGAGATATAATTGATATATAGCATTGTATTAGTTTTAGATGTACGACATGATGACTTAACATAAGTATATATTGTAAAATGATTACCACACTAAGTTTAGTTAATATCCATCCCTACACATAGTTATTATTTTTTTGTGTGATATGAACTTTTAGGATCTACTCTCTTAGCCACGTTCAAATATACAATACAGTATTGTTAACTACAGTCACCATGTTGTATATCTTTCATTCTCTTTTGAATGGTGTCATTCAAGAAACAAAATTTAAAATTTTGATGTTCAATTCATCACACTTTCTTGTATGATTCGTGCTTTTAATGTTTTATCTAAGAAACTTTTGCCTACCTCAAGCTCACAAAGATTTCCTTCCGTGTTTTCTTTTAGACATGTTAAGATGTTAGGTTTTGCATTAGGGCCATGATCCATTTTGAGTTAATTTCTGTGATGATGTGAGTTAAGGATCAATGTTCATTTTTCCCATCGGGAGATCCAGTCGACCCAACACCGTTTGTTGGAAAATTGACCTTCTCCCAGCTTGGCAGCTTTGTCAAAAATCAAGTGACCATTTTTGTTAGATCTATTTCTAAACTCTATTCTTGTTCTTTTTAGGTTGTTCTAGGTCTTTTGCTTGTCCATATATATTTTAGAAACAGCTTGTCAATTTCTACAAAAATGTCTGCTGGTATTTCTAGCGCAAGTACATTGAGTCCAGAGATCAATTTGGGGAGAATTGACGTCTTAATAATATTGCTTTAGCTGCATCCCACAGATTTTGATATGTTGAGTTCTCATTTTCATTTAGCTCTATGTATTTTTATATTCGCTTTGAGACTTTCTCTTTGGATTATTTGGAAATAGATTGTTTAATTTCTAAGAATTTGAATAATTTTTTGTTGTCTTTCTATTACTGACACCAGGTTTGATTTCATTATAGTCAGACAATATACTCTCTATGATTTCCATTCTTGTAGTTTTTTTGAGGTTTGTTTTATGATCCAGGATATGGTCTGTCTTGGTGATTGCTCCCAGGGCACTTGCAAAAAATTTGTATTGTATTGTTAGGTGGAGTGTTTTATGTCTATCTATCTATCTATCTATCTATCTATCTATATATCTATACATAGATACATAGATATATCAATTAGAGCTTGTTGATTGATTGTATTGTTCAAGTCTTCTATATCCTTGCTGAGTTTTTGGCTAGGAGTTTTGTCAGTTGCTAAGAATGGGTGTTCAAGACACAAACTATAATTGTGGATTTGTCTATTTTTCCTTTCAACTCTCTCTGTTTTTGCCTCATGTATTTTGAGACTGTTTTGGGGTGGTTTTTGTTTTTTGTTTTTTTGGTGAGGAAGATTGGCCCTGAGCTAACATCTGTGCCAATCTTCCTCTATTTTTTTGTATGTGGGTTGCTGCCACAGCATTGCTTTGATGAGTGGTATAGGTCCGTGCCCAGGATCCAGACCCACGAACCCTAGGCCACTGAAGCAGAGTGTGCTGAACTTAACCACTACACCACCAGACCAGCCCCTTGAGACTTCTTTTTGATGTGTTCCTCTTTAGGATGGTTAAGTCTTACTGGTGGATTGATCCTTCTAGCACTATGTAATGTCTCTAGTAATTTTCTTTGCTCTGAAGTCTATTTTATCTGATATTAATATAGCCACTCTTGCTTTTTTGATTAACATTTACAAGATATATGTTTTTCTATTTTTTCACTTTCAACCTACCTATGTCACATTGAGGTAAGTTTCTTATAGACAGCATATTCTTGGAACATTTTTTCTTTCACTCTGTCAATCCATCTTTTTGGTCATTTGAGGAAGACTGGCCCTGAGCTAACATCTCTGGTCATCTTCCTCTGCTTTATATGTGGGATGCCTGCCACAGCATGGCTTGACAAGCAATGTGTAGATCTGCACCCGGGATCCAAACCAGCGAACCCGGGGCCACCAAAGCAGAATGAGAGAATTTAACCACTGTGCCACTGGGTGGGCCCTCAATCTCTGTTTTTAATTAGTGCATTTAGATCATTTGCATTTAATATAATTACTGATATGCTAGGGTTTAAGTCAGCCATTTTATTATTTGTTATTATTTTTTGTTTCCTATTTCTCATTCTTCTGTTTCTCTTTTTTACTTTCCTGTGAGTTACTTGGACATTTTTCAGAATTCCGTCTTGATTTATTTATCATGTTTTTTAATAGATTGCTTTGCGTAGTTTTATTAGTGGTTGCTCTAGGTATTACACGATACATATGTAACTTACTGCAGTCTACTTGAATCGATGTTTTGCCACTTCAAGTGTAAAAAGTAAAGTCGCTCAGCTTCCTCGATTCTCACAAATACTAGAATTATCTTAGGTGTTTCCTCTACATACATTGAGCACACCTTCAGGTGGTGTTATAATTTTTGCTTCAACCACCAAATATGATTTAAGAAACTCATGAAAAGGACAGTCTATTCTATTTACCCCTATTTTTACCCATTTTGAGGTTCTTCTTTCTTTTCTGAAATTCCAAGCCTTCTTCTGACATCATTTTCTTTTTGTTTAGAGAAATTTCTTTTCCAATTATTTAAGGGTGGGTTTGCTAGTTACAAATTCTTAGTTTTTCTTCATCTGAGAGTATCTTTATTTTCTCATAATTCCTGAAGGATATTTTTGCTGGATATAGAATTTGCTGTTGCCAAGCTCTTTTCTTTCCACACATGAAAATGTTCAGCTGCTTCTTTCTCTTCTGTGTGGTTCCAGATGAGAAATACACGGTGATCCAAACTGTCCCTTTGTGAGTAGTGCATCATTTCTTCTTTGTCTTCAGTTTTCAGAAGTCTAGTTACAATGTGCCTTGACATGGATTTCTTTGGTTTATCTTATTTGGGGGGTTTGCTCAGGCTCTTGACTCTGTAGATGTCCATCTTTCGCTAAATTCAGGCAGTTTTCAGCCATTATTTCTTAGAGTACTTTTTCAGTCCCACTCTCTCTCCTGTCCTCTGGGACTCCAACAATATGAAAATTAGCTCTTTTGTTGTTAGTGCTCAGGTCCCTGTGACTCTCCTCATTTTTTTTTTTTTAAACACATCTTTTTTTTTTTTTTTCATAAATTGAAATTCCGGTGAGTTAATTAGGAGCCTGGTCTGAGGACTATAGCCCAGGGCCTTCCTTCCCCAAAGAAGGAAGGGCACGAAAGAAGAGGAGTGTACAGAGTGGTTATATACCATCATAAAACACAGCTTTTTTAATGTCTGTTTTTTTCTTTTAAAGATTTTATTTTTCCTTTTTCTCCCAAAGTCCGTTGGTACATAGTTGTGTATTTTTAGTTGTGGGTCTTTCTAGTTGTGGCATATGGGACGCCGCCTCAGCATGACCTGCTGAGCGGTGCCATGTCCACGCCCAGGATTTGAACCTGTAAACCCTGGGCCACCGCAGCAGTGCACGCAAGCTTAACCACTCGGCCATGGGGCCAGCCCCTCTTCATTTTTTTTCAGTCTGTTTTCTCTGTTGTTCTATTAGGTGGATCTTATTGATCTGTCATTGCCACTCCACTGTTAAGCCCATTCGGGGAGTTTTTTATTTAGACTATGATATTTTTTAGTTCTATAATTTCCATTTGGCTCTTTTTTAAAACAAAAAATAAATTCTCTCTCTTTGTTGAGATTTTTTCCCTTTTTTTTCATTTGTTTCCAAGCATTTTGTGATGGCTGCTTCAACATACTAGTCAGATCATTCTGAGCTCTGATTCATCTTAGTGTTGGTGTCTGTTGTCTTTTTCATTCAATTTGAGATCTCTTTGGTTCTTGGTATGACAAGCGATTTTTGATTGTATCCCTGGCACTTTGAATGTTATGAAACTCTGGGTCGTACTTAAGCTTCTCCTTTAGGAGGCTGTCCGCTGTTAAGAGGCAGCACAAGGGCAGGGTAGGTAAGTATGTTTGGCTTCCTGCTGGGCCTGTCAACTCCACCCCAGCAACCACGGGGCGTGTACACCGCCTCACTGTAATGGTGGAGTGGAAGTTCAGCTCCCGCTCTGGTGAAATGGAGCACTGGTTGGCATGACATTGTTGTCTCTGAGTTCACTTCCCAGTGGGCCTCCCTGACACCAGGGTTAGGTGACAGGGGAAGCAGAGTGTCAACCATCCTGCCTCACACAACTGGCTTCTCTCTTCTTGCCACCAGGTGGGGGTGGAGGTTCAGCTCTCCACTGGGCCCCCCAGACATGAGGGGCAGGAGGGACACGGACTAGTGATCACCATCTAGTTAGGGTTTGTTACTGCCAGGTGGGGTTGGAGGCTCAGCATGCCACGGACATGATAGTACCTTGGGGAGAATCTGGGCACCACCTGCGCCCACAGGGCAGGCTTATGGAGGACTGCTCAGCTTGCCCACACTGTCGGGTAGTCGGAGCACTGCCTTCTTCTGCCAGGAAGAGGGATCGAAGGGTAGGTTCTGCTCAGCACCACCAGCGCCACTGGGTGGGGAGAGGAGCGCTGCTTGCTGCCCCCTTGGGGTGTGGAGGAAGACCCCATCCTTGCCCCCACCCACACTGCAGGGAGCGCTGTGGTTATCCCATTGGTGCTTGACTAGAGTAGGCTGCCGAAGGTTTTCTGGGTTGGGACTCCCTTTCCTGGCCCCGTGGCTAGTGGGAACAGGCTTGTCTTGGAGCTTTTTTGCATGCGCCTACTGGTGGTTCCCCTGGGAGGCTTCCAGAGCCGCCTGTCCGGGATTTATGGGAGGCAATGGGGAAGTCAGGAGCTCACCATGTCCTTCCTCAGGTCCTGAGGCTCCGAGGCAGTCTGCCTCCTTCCTTCCACCTTTCAGAGCCCTCCCATGCTTATCTGTGTGTTATGTCCAGGACTTCTTAGGTGTTAAGACAGAGGACCTAGGGGAAATGGGACTACTGCTTCTTGCTGGGGATCCCCTTTGTAGATAATACAGCCTTTTGTGTCAATTTTGGAAAACACTCCTTGGCATTGGAAAAGAAAGTCTATTCTCTCGAAAACAAAGCACAATATAAATCCCCTAAGGAAACTTAACTAATCACATTATTCGAGTTCTTTCTAACTTTTCTTTGATTCAGAATTGTTCTTAAAATAGTCCGTTACTCTTTATTTGTAGCAGCGTATACTGATATTCCTAACCATTTTTCTTTAAGTATTTTATTGCAACTTTATTTGGCGTCTACAAGCTCACAACTGTTAAATATGTATTGTGACATTCTTTTTAAATTAATTAATTAATTCTCTTCAGCACCAATAGTCTAGTTTTTATCTGTCACCATACACATGTGCCCCTTTACCCCTTTCATTGTCTTCCCACGCCCTTTTCTTCTGGTAGCCACTAATCTGTTCTCCTTATCTATGTATGTGTTTATTTATCTTCCACACATGAGTGAAATCATATTTGTATTTGTATTTGACTTATTCTTAATGTGAGTATAAAATGAATTTCTGGATGCTCCTTTTGATGAACTCTATACTTTTTAAAATGATATTTTGACTCCTGTATTCTTTGACCATTCTTTCACTTTTACCCATTTTAGTTCGTTCTGTTTATCTTTTGTGATTACATTTTGTTTTTTTATTGCTATCTGAGTTTTTATCTCTTAATAGGAAATCTACCGCCACCTCATTTATTGTTCTGCCTGATATGTTTGAGACACCCTCTGTCATCTTGTCTATTCTCTCCCATGGAAATTTGAGAGAGGGGTTTCGTTCTCTCACTTTCCCCAAATCCCTCAATTACAATGATTTCGCAGGACGGTTGTGACTCATGACGGGACCAAGGAGGCTGAGTGCTTCCTTCCCCGGAGAGACTCAGCAACTGGAGACTAGCTCGTTGTTCATGCTGTGCTAAGGAACCTCTTTGATTTATGTTAACACTTTGATTTTAAGCTTGTCATCTGGGGATAGTTTCGTTTCCAAAAAAGTAACTCGGATTCATTATAAAAGAAGTGAATTCAGGATTTAGTTGTTCTTAGTGTCCTTCATCAAAGCGATGGTAGTAAATCTATACTTACCTGACTCTAATTACCTTTTCTTGCAGATAAGAATGTTAACTATTCAGACACAGAAGTTCTTCGGAAATTTTCAAGATATGGATTTAATGCCATGATCAGTCAAAGGTTGGGCAACGAGAGAGAGGTGCCAGACACTAGGAACAAAATGTATGTTCCTCTTAATTTTTTTATATTGAGATATAATTGACATATAATATTGTATTAGTTTCAAGAGTACAATGAAGTTATTTGATATTTGTATATATTGTAAAATGATCACCACCATAAGTCTAGATAACTTTTGTCAACTTTTGTCACCATAGATAGTTAGAAAATAAGTTTTTTCTTGTGATGAGAAATTTTAAGATGTACTTTCTTAGCAACTTTCAAGTATGCAATAGGGTATTATTAACTACAGTCACCATGCTGTACATTACATCCCCATGATTTATTTATTTTATAACAGGAAGTTTTACCTTTTGACCCCCTTACCCACTTCACCCACCCCCTACCTCTGGCAACCACCAATCTGTTCTCTGTATCTATGAGCTGGGTTTTTTGGTTATTTTTAGATTCCACATGTAAGCGAGATCACACACTATTTGTCTTTCTCTGTTTGACTTATTTCACTTAGCACAATGCCCTCAAAGTCCATCCATGTTGTTGCAAATGACAAGATTTCCTTCTTTTTTATAACTAAAGAATAATCCATTGTGTATATTTATATATGTACTACATCTTCTCTATCCCCGCATCCAGTGATGGACTCTTAGGTTGTTTCCATGTCTTGGCCATTGTGATAACGCTGCAATGAACACAGGGGTGCAGATATCTTTTTGGGTTAGTGTTTTTATTTTCTTCCGATAAATACCTAGGAGTGGAATTGCTGGGTCATATGGTAGCTCTATTTTTAATTTTTTGAGGAACCTCCATATGAATTTCCATAACAGGTGCACCAATTTATATTCCCACCAACAGTGCACAAGGGGTCCCTTTTCTCCACATCCTCACCAACACTTGTTATCTCGTCTTTTTGCTAATAGCCATTCTGACAGGTATGAGGTGCTATCTCATTGGGGTTTTGATTTGCATTTCCCTGATGATTAGTGATGTTGAGCACCTTTTCATGTACCAGTTGGTCATCTGTATGTCTTCCTTGGAAAAATATCTCTTCAGATCTTCTGCCCATTTTTTGATTAACTGTTTGGGTTTTTTTGTTTGCTTGTTTGTTTTGCTATTGAGTTGTATGAGTTCTTTATATATTTTAGATATTAACCCCTATTCAGTAGGTTGCCTTTTCATTTTGTTAATGGTTTCTTTTGCTCTGCGGAAGCTTTTTAGTTTGATGTAGTCCCACTTTTTTATTTCTGCTTTTGTTGCCTTTGTTTTTGGTGCCAAATCCAAAAACCCATTGTCATTTTAACTACTAGGAATAATTACTACTATCTGGAGTCCAAGCAGATTTTCAGGCATTATTCTAATAATTGTATTATTCCAGCACATGGAATTTCCATTTCAGCTTTGCTGTACTTTAAAGTTCATATGACTTTTTTCACTAGCTATAGAAATATTCAATACAGATCTTTGAAGAGGAGATTTTTTTATGTTGCTTGGTCTTCTAATTTAATTTTTTATTTCTTTTTTTTTTTTAAGATTTTATTTTTTCCTTTTTCTCCCCAAAGCCCCCCAGTACATAGTTGTATATTCTTCGTTGTGGGTCCTTCTAGTTGTGGCATGTGGGATGCTGCCTCAGCGTGGTTTGATGAGCAGTGCCATGTCCGCGCCCAGGATTCGAACCAACGAAAAACACTGGGCCACCTGCAGCGGAGTGTGTGAACTTAACCACTCGGCCATGGGGCCAGCCCCTAATTTTTTATTTCTTAACTTTCCAATTTTTAAATAATTTCCGACTTACAAAATTGTTGCACAAATATTTCAAAGAATTGCTATATAGCTTTTTTTTAGATTCCCCAAAAGTTAATATCTTCCATACCCTTAGAACCAGAACAATGAACAAAATCAGGAAATTAGCATTTATACAATACATAGCTAAGCTACAGACATTATTCAAATGTTTATAGTTGCCCCACTAGTGTCCTTTTTCTGGAAGGATCCAACACAGGACCACAGGTTGCCTGCAGTGTTCCTGTCCCCTTAGTTTCCTTTCATCTGAAACAGTTCCTAGGTCTTTATCTTTCACAATTGTGGCACTTTTGAAAAAAAATCTAACCAGTTATTTTCTAAAATGTTCCTCAATTTGAGTTCAATGTTTCCTCATGACCAAATTCAGGTCATGCTTTTTTGGTAAGAATACCATAGAAGTGTGATGTTGTGTCCTTCTCAGAGCATCATATTAGGAGGCACATGATGTCCATTTGTCTCATTACTGGTGGTGAAATTGTTTTTATTTTTTTAAAGATTTTATTTTTCCTTTTTCTCCCCAAAGCCCCCTGGTACATAGTTGTATATTTTCAGTTGTGGGTCCTTCCCGTTGTGGCATGTGGGAGGCTGCCTCAGCATGGCTTGATGAGCAGTGCCATATCTGCGCCCAGGATCCGAATGGGCGAAACCCTGGTCTGCCGCAGCGGAGCGCACGGGCTTAACCACTCGGCCACAGGGCTGGCCCCCTCATGAAATTACTTTTGATCACTTAATTAAAACAGCAGCTGTCAAATTTCTGCACTGTAAAATTACTATATGTCCTTTTGTAATTAATAAGTGTGCAGATTTCTTTTAAATTTAGTTACAGAAAACCTGAAAAATATTTAAAAAGTACAAAAGGGGAAAGTAAAAATACCCACAATCCTACTGCCTTTTCTTGTGTGTTAAGGCATAAAGAATAACCTATCTTCCCCCAACCCAATACAGAGAGACCATCATTGTCGATATTTTAGTGTATATCCTTCCAGAATTTGTAGACGCATGCACGTATTTATAAGCAAATAGTGAACATACAATATAATCATATACATTTTATGAAAATGGGCTTTACCTTGAATACTGTTCTACAACGTACTTATTTCACTTAACGCATCATGGAGAACTTTTTCAAAGCATTACATATAAAATTTGCCTCATAATTTTAACAGCTGAGAGCAGTTGTCCATTGTATAAATGTACCATTTCCCTGGGGGAGAAATCCCGCTTCAAATTTTTCAACTTTTCAAAGATGAATATACACATATTTTAAGCACTCATGTCAATATTTCCGGAGGAAAGATTTCTGGAATGAGATTTTTCAGTCATAGGGTTTAACATAGATAGTTTTTGTCTTCTAGAATTTTATATAAATGAAATCTACGCAACATAATTGTTTTGAAATTCAGTCATGTTGTTGCAAGGAGTTCATTCCTTTTTATGGCTGAGTAGTACTCCCTTGTATAGATATACTATGATTGGTTTACCCATTCACCTGTGGATAGATCGTTTCCAGTTTTTGTCTATTACAAATAAAGCTGGTATGAATATTCTTATACCAGTTTTGTACAGACAAATGCTTTTTTCTTCTTGTGTAAATATTTAAAAGTGGAATGGCTAGATCTTGGGGTATATATTTAACTTTTTAAGAAACCCACTTTTCCAAAAAACTTTTTATTTTGCTTTTGCCTAACCCAAGATCAAAAAGATTTCTCCATTGGATTTTCTATGTAGACGGCTATGTCATCTGCAAATAAAGATACTTTCACTTCTTCCTTTCCAATCTGGATGTTTTTCTTTTTCTTAGCTTATTGCACTGACTAAAACCTCCAATTCAACGTTGAATAGGTGTGGTAAAAATGGACAACCTTACTGTGGTTTTGATCCTAACACCCAGTCTTTCACCAGTAAATATGATGCTATCTATAGATTTTTTCATAAATGTTCTTTTTCAGACTGAGGAAATTCCCTTCTGCTTCTAGTTTGCCAAGAGTTTTTCATCAGAAATGGATGTTCAATTTTGTCACGTCTTTTTCTGTATATACTAGATAATAGTATGGGTTTTCTTCTTTAGTGTTTAAAGGTTGTGAATTACATTGATTCACTTTCTAATGTTAAACCAATCTTATATGTCTTGGATATCCCCCACTAGGTCACGCTGCATTATCCTTTTTAATATTGTTGAATTTGATTTGCTGAATTTTATATTAGTGTTTATGAGGGCTATCAGTCTGCGTTTTTGTTTAATGTCCTTGTCTGGTTTTGTTATCAAAGTAACGTTGGCCTTGTAGAATGAGTTGGGAATTATTCCTTCAATACTTAATTTTTTTTTTTAAACAGTGACACCTGAGCTAACATCTGTTGCCAATCTTTTTTTCTTTCTTCCTCCCCAAAGCCCCCCAGCACATAGCTGTACATTTTAGCTGTGGGTCCCTCTAGCTGTGGCATGTGGGATGCTGCCACCCCAGCATGGCCTGATGAGCAGTGCCATGTCAGCGCCCAGGATCCAAACCAGCGAAACTGCGGGCTGCCGAAGCAGAGCGTGCGCACCTAACCACTCCGCCACGGGCAGCCCGCCGTTAATTTTTTAATGTCTGTGGTTGACTTCTGATCATACTGAGGACATTTCTTTCTGTTCTTTCACTCGAAGTTTTCTCCCTTATTTATTTTATTAGCATTCCTTTTCCTTTTCTTTCTTTAAAAATAATTCCATTCTTGGGTGTGTCACATGAATGCCAGAGGATTCTGGCAGAGCAACAGGATTGCTCTGTTGGAGGGGAAGTCCACTTTTGGCATGTGCACTGACTGGCCAAAGCTACATCAACTGGGAGTGGGTTAATTTTGATTTGGGATTTTATTTTAATCAGAAATTACTGCTAAGTTTTATCAAATGATTTCTCAGGACTGAATCAACCATCCTATGAATTTCCTCCTTCAAATTGTTGTTATCTTATGTTGAGCCATCCTTACATTCCTGAAATAAACTGACCTTAGTTATACTATTCTTTTAAAATGCAGCTGTATTTGACTTGCTTTAATTGTTTTGATCTGTATAAATGAGATTAGTCTGTATCAATGTTTCTCAAATTGAGATCCATGTACATATTCTCAGAGGTCTACAAATTCTCCATGAGAATTTTAAAATTTTCTGTTCCCATTTTTATGTAATATTTAAAAGTTAACATATGTATATACAGGATGACAACCTTACTACAGCCACTCAGTTTCAGTAGGTAATGAGAAAGAACAGTGGCAGACAATAGATGAATGACATAAATGATGTCAAACAGAGGTGGACCTAATACACAAATTGTGTAAGTTATGCCAAATTACTTTATAGCACGTTGTACCGATAAAGTCTTTTTTACGATATTTCCAATACAAAAAAAGTGCTGGGGGAGTTGAGCAGTCACATAATACATAGTAGTACGGTCCGGTCAGATTGAACGAAACTTTCCTGTAACAGGTAGTACAGAGGGTGTAAGTGGTGATTCATTTCAGTGAAACACAACCCAAAATTAAAATTAGTCTATTAATTTGAATTTAACTGTTTTTAGCTGTATTTCACTATTTTTACTGTTTTATTTATAGCTGTGTAAGAGCTTATAAACACAAAGATATTCTACCTAATTTTTTGTTTATGCATATTTAGGAGCTATGAAAGTAATTTAAAACAACTCTGGAAGTTGAGATCTTATTTTCTCTTCAAAAGAAGTCTATGCATGACTCAAGTTTAAGAAACCCTGGCTCGTGTTCTTCTTTTTTGTGCTACTTTATCAGATTTTGACATCAATTTATATAGCTTCATAAAATGAATTCAGATGTTTTCCGTATATCTCTATGCTCTAAAATTCTTGAAATAATATAATTATCTATTCTCTACGTTGAAATAGAACTTCTGAGTCACTGGTCCATTTTCTAGTGGCAGACATTGAAAAATTTTATTTCCTTCAAGGTTATTTATTGTGCTGCTCAGGCTTTCTACTTCTAGGGTCTATTTAGGATATTCTATTTCAATAAAAATCCATTTCACCTATTTTTCAAGGGTCTTAGCATAAAATTACTCATCCTAATTTCGTAATTCTTTTTATCTTCTCTGGTCTGACAAATAAAAATGACAAGCAATAGGATACATTGGAGTATATGAGGAAGCCATTTGATATAAACCTAATTCGGCCTGACTTTGTTTTTCCAAAAGGGCCTGACTGTGGCCATTGAGCATGCATTGTATATCTGCTTAGACATTTTGAGATAAAGGTGCAACTTCCCTCCCCCTCCCAACGTTGGCATCTCCTTAAAGATTAAGCATCTTTCTTTAGGCTGGGAACTGATTGCAGCGCTCATCTGTGACCGCCCAGCCCGAGGCAACAGATCTGCCACCCTGCAGGGTTCACTGAGACAGCAGACCTATCCGCTGTTTCCATCAATCACTGTACTGACAGAGCAGCCTCGTGACTATTGTAAAAGGGACATTTCAATCATATGTGAAACATACTCTTTGAGGGTATATAACCACCCTGTATACCCCCACCTCTTTGGAGTGCTCTGTTCCTTTGTGGAAAGACTCTCCCGGGTTATAATCCTCAGATTTAAGCTCAGAATAAACTCACCCAAGTTTTCATTTATAGATTGGTTATGGATTATTTTCATCGACAGGTCTGATACTTTCTTTCTCGTTGTTATTGTTGTACATTTTCCCTCTTTCTGTCTTAAGCTTGTTGAGGGTTGGTCTATATTAGTCGTCCTTCAAAAAATCAACTTTTGGTTATATGTATCATTTCTGCTTTTGTCGTCTTCAAATTCATTAATTTCTAGCTACCTTTATTGGATCTTAGCTCTTTCTTTTGGTTCTTTTTGTTGTCTTTTTATCAGTGTTTAAGGTTAAATAGTTTATTTTTCCTCTTTCTTGCATAATAACAGTACATTTATAAGTATTCATTTTATTCTGATTAGGATTTTAGCCATATACCTTAAGTTTTAACATAGTGTGTTTTTATCTTGATTAATCTTTAATTTGCAATTTTTAATTTCCTCTTTGATCCAAGAATTATTTAGAAAAGTGGATTTTTTAAGATCAGATTTAAACAAATGAATAACTGCTTACAAATTAGTTTATCGTCTATCACCATGTTTTTCTAAAATGCTTGAAAGATTGTCATTTTGTCATTTTAAGTAATGCCCCTCCCCACTAGACCCTTCCAACTTAAAGTGTGGTCTGGGGCCAGCAGCACGGCAGCCCCCGGGGGCTGGTTAGCCATGCGGAATCCCAGGCTCTAGCCTAGACATACTGAATCAGAATCTGCATCTAACAAGAAGCCCAGGGGGTATTTATGCACATTAAAATTTAACATCCTTCTATTGGTTTGGTAGGGCTGTTGTAACAAAGCACCATACACTAGGGGGCTCAAAGAGAAATGTATTCTCTCCCGCTTCTGGAGGCTACAGGTTGGAGACCAAGGTACTGGCAGGGTCGGTGGTTCCGAGGGCTGTGAGGGAAGATGTGTTCCAGGCCCTCTCCCTGGCTTGTACACGGCCGTCTTCTCCCTGTGTCTCTTCATATCGTCTTCCCTCTGGGGCTGTCCATCCTGGGTCCTAATTTTCCTTTTTATAGGGACACCAGTCTTACTGGATGAGAGCCACTCTAATGACGTCTCATTCGTTACATCTGCAACAGCCCATTTCCAAACAAGGCCACGTTCTGAGGTACTGGAGGTTAGGACTCCATCACATGAATTTGAGGGGGACACAACTCAACCCATAATAGTCCTGCTTTATACTACACTGTTGGTAATCTATACAATCAGCAAAGAGTAGATCAGCGAACTGAGGACAACCAAACTCAGGCCTTGTCCAAATTACTTTTACCCTGAAAAACCACTTATTTAGGTCAGGAAAGTTTTTCTATATAGAAAGACCACAGCAACATTTATCATTTAATTTTAGAAAAACCCGTACACACCAGATTTCTCTTAGGGGTCTAAAGAGTCCTTGTGTGATATGGTTTCAGGCTCCTTTGCTATCACTGTCTCATTCCTCTAAAGAGGCTCAGTTTATCTATAGTTTTCTTAAAATTATATACCCAGGATTGAAATAATATTAGAGATGAGATCTGAGTAGCACGAATTCACCCTGGACCATCATCGGTCTCATTCTTGGTATTATCCTTCCATTTTCCCTCTCCGTCTTTCTCATTGACTTCTTCTTTGATAACTCAATGATCCTATTGGAATTTAAGCCTTGTAATCATTTTTCTATATATTTCTATGTAGCCCCATTTTTCCACTTGCTGCTTTCAACCTATGTGCAAGATGTGGCACCCACCCCCTTTCCCATCCTCTCGGGTCTTTTCTTGATTCTGTCATCTTTCATATTCTCATTCCTTTGAGCAGAATGTCAGCTTCCACTTGGTAGACATGCCTTCTATATCTTCATCTCATCTTGGATAAAAATGTTGACCAGGACAAAGCCCTCCTCTTCCATGGTGATTTCAAGCCATGAATATACAGAAGGTCTGTCTAGGACCCTATCGGACTGCCTACCCAGCACCTCCCTTCCAGTGCTCCCTGCCCCATCCCCTTTACATGGATGCAGTGGGAATAGTGACTTTCTATTTTGACCCTACTATCTGGCCACAGTTGATTAGCCCAGGGATGGGTACCTGAGCCACGTTGGACCAATGAATCCTTTCCTGTGAATTTTTGCAAAAGAGAAAGTCTTAACAGTTTCTCTTTGGGTGCTGGACTCTAAGATATACTGATGTCAGTCACATTTCCCACTCTGGAGTAAAGAAGTGGAAACAAGCCAGGTTGCAGAGAGAGAATAAGAATCATATAATGAGCCTTATATAATACTTACTACCTGCCAGGCCCTCTCTGAGCACTTTATAAGTATCAGTTCATTGATTCTCACAATCCATGAGGCAGGCTGATAGTGTTTTTGTTATCATTATTATTATCCCCAGACATACAGACAGAGCAGAAATGGAGAGAGTGTCCTGGTGGCTTTCAAGCCTCCGGTTCCAATCGTTCTGGGAGGCTCCAGCCACACGCCTGTCACTAGGTCTTAGGAGACATTTGGGTGCCCTTACAACATAGCTCTTTTTCTTACACTTAAGGTAGTTCCAGTGGATTTGTCATTTACAACCAAAATATTTCAAAATACAACCAAATAATATAGCAATCCAAACAACACTTTAACAGCTAATAACTAATGTTAGTAGAATTCAGCTTCTATTTTTCTCTCCAGTGCATACGTACATAAATACACTTTTATCAAATCCTTGGAAGAAATCCAATTGCACCATATCCACTACATTTGTGTAGCAACAGACTACACAAATATAGGAAAAAGTACGAATTTTCTTTGAAGATAGTGCAATAAAGTTAATTTGAATCTTTAAATGTGTGTAAGTTTATTAATTCATTTTTATAATAGAAACCAAAATATATGTATAATTTGTGTTTATCCTATGTTCAAATAGAACTAATATTATCAAAACAGAGTCATAAGAGCAATTGTTACCGACATTAAGAAGGAAGGAGTGATTTAGAAAATATTAGAACAGCATAAGAAGTTAAAGAAATTTTTGTATCTTAATTTTTGTATTTTTAAATATCCTGCTACATTATTATCATAATAATCAATTAGAGGAATAAAGAGGAAAAAAGTGCAAATGAAGAAAGGTGTTTGAATGAGATCCCAAAACACCTAAGGCTTTTAGATGAATCATTTTCTTCCTCTTATTTATGCCTGCAGGTGTCTTCAAAAACATTACCCAACCAGGCTACCTTCTGCCAGCATTGTCATTTGCTTCCACAATGAAGAATTTAATGCCTTGTTACGGACAGTGTCCAGTGTCATGAAACTCACTCCATACCGTGTCCTTGAAGAAATTATTTTGGTAGACGACATGAGCGAATTTGGTGAGGCAGAACGCTAGTGATCTGTCTAATCTACCGTGAGGGCAGTGCTATCTCTGATAGTGCTGGAGTTATTTTATACAAAGAACATTTTTTGGTGGATGTTGAGGCAGACAGTGTGCTGGGTGCCGTTGGGTACACTGGCGGGATGTAAGAGCTGCTTCCTGTCCTTACGGTGTTGGGCTAATGGGGATGGTTAGTGCTTCCATGAGCTAAACGTAGGGCACCAACCTGGTCTTTAAAGATCGTCAATGACATTCAGGAAGAAGCGACATCTAAACTGAGGTCTGAAGGGTGAGTTGGAGTTATCTAGATAGAAAGGAAGGAAAAAGTGTTTTAGGCAGAAGAAATAGCATTGTAAAGGCTCAGAGGAAGAGAAAACATGATGAGTTTGGAAGAGTTCTGTATTTATGTAGTTTATGTATGAGTATGGCGTTGATGGGGAGGGAGTGGGCATAAAACCAGAGATGTAAGAAGGCAACCACTCATAAAAGGCATTGTTTGGATTTTATCTGGAGAAAACGGGGAACTATTACAGGGCTTAATGCAGGGAGATGCCACGCTCCAGGCACTCTACATGATAGAACTCTAATGAGACCAACCATAGTTCGGTGCTTGTTCCTCCGTGCTCACTGGCTTTAAAGAATCGTGATACTACTACAAAATCTGATTAACAACTCAGCATTTGAAATTACTTGTTTATTTTACACTTACAAACCTGAGGCAAACCAATAGGACCCAGATTAGCGAAAAGATCTTTGGAGTCTGCAGGTGCCTGTGGGGTCCATTTCCCACGGAAGCAGTCAGCATGGCATAGGTTCCTACCCAAAAGTTTACCTGATCTGCTGTCACTCTGACCCACTATGGGCTGAGAAAGAAAGAGGGGAGAAACAGTAGGAAGAACAGGCAGGGGAACAGAAGAAGACGTCCCAGGAGGTTCACCCATCGGGAAGTGACGCTAGGTGCATCAGTTCAAAGGGGGAATGTAATTCAAGCTAATGTCAGCTGTATTCAGGAATTTCACATTAGCCAGGCACTGTCATATATGACGTTATTTCTACAGGAGCCGCCCATATTGGAGGGGTACAGCACTGTTTATTTCTAGTCCTGTGCACGGGAGACGATGTGGAGAGATGGTCAGAGTCCTTAGCTGATCAGTAGCACTGAGCAACACATTGGCCACATGCTGGGCGGGAAGTCCCCAGTAAAGCCATGAGCAGGGAACAGGGTAGGATCTTCTGCTGGACTATGGAGTTCTAACTTCCACCCAGAGGGACAAGGGTCCTGCCGTGGAGATGAAGTTCCAGGATGACTACAGGACTCCTCCCCTCACCTCTCAGAACCACGCCATGAGTTCAGAGACATACCCAGTGACCTGCTCATACTTTCTTTAGGCATCAGGGGAATCGCTGCTGATGACCAAGATATGGGTGTGCTTCCAGACCGGATACCTCTACTTCTTGATCCACGGTCACCTGATTTGTGGTGATTTCACCCACCCCACCAAGGAACTTAGTCTTAGACCCACATAGAACCTCAAACACAGGAAATGCAGGAAGGGAGGTTTTCTGTGTTCTGATGGAACTCAGGACCAACAAGTTCCCACATTTAATTCACAGTGATTTCATGTGGGCTCTAGGAGAAGAGTTTTGAACGACAGCTGGTCTTTCCCAGCTGACACCAGTAGGCACTGCCGATGGACTCCCTCAACCTGGGGAGCAGGGGATGGGGGCCCAGGGATCTGCCGCCATTGAGTTACATGAGAGGCATGCTCAGAGCTGATGTGCTGCCATCCACTTTTCTCATAGTCCTGGTTTCCCGAGACTACAAGCCAACAACATGACCATCTTCTGAAAAACTCAAGCCCTCCACTTCATGTCAGTGATTTCCACTGCCAGAACTGCCTTTGTTTCCTCCTGGGTCTGGCTCTCAGAGTTCCTCTGTGTCCTGCATGTTAGAGAGGTGTTTGCAGACGTCTGAGCAGAGATGCTGCCCCAACCCTGCAGGAGAAGCTGTGCAGCCTGCAGTCGGCCTCTGAGCAGGGCCCTGGCATTCTTTTTAAGGACAAGGAAGGATATCACTCCTTCTGCCAAGATTACAATGAACCTGCTTCTGTTGACCCTTAACCTCCTGATCCAGATTCCTAGGACTTAGGAATTTAGACTTCTGAGGCATCTGTATCCATCTCACCTGAGCCCAGCCTTTATCATCATCATGTTAACCTCCGAATATTGAGTGACTGTTAGGCACCAAGCTCTGTACTGAGTGATGTGTTTCTTCCTCTCACTACAGTACTGCAAGGAATATGGTGGCTACTCCTTCTCACCGACGAGGAAATTGAGACTCGACTGGTTTGATAACTTGCCTAAGAGTTACTACCAAGTTAGAAGCCAGCTGTTAGTAATAAAGTCAGATTGCTCCAAAGCGCCATAGCTCATGCCTTTTCTCTTAAAATTTTAATAGTGATTTATTAAGATAGAAATATCTCACTAGAAGCAAAGAAGAATGTTTACAGTTGATTTTGATGCTGAATCACTTTTCTTTCTCTTCCTTACATAGGATAAAATTTTCTTTTAAAGTTAGAACTTCTGGAGAATAGCATGGTTTTTAGGGATCAACCAAAATTGTGATAAGTTGCTTTAATTTCTGTAGTTACCGTCTATAAATAGTCAAATGTTGGATTTTTTTTCCAGATGATTTGAAAGAAAAACTAGACCATCACCTGGAATTTTTTCGGGGAAAGATAAAATTAATAAGAAACAAAAAGAAAGAGGGACTGATTCGAGCAAGGCTAATTGGAGCCTCTCTTGCTTCAGGTATGAACTTGGGACAATGACTCAGTATCTATGTCACAGAGGTCTTCCTGCCCGTGCAGAAATAATCCTCAGGGAGGCCCTCCATGTCCCCCCTGACGTAAACAGAAGAGTAGAAATATATCTCAGCCTTGTGAATCTTTAATCTGCTTTTGGCTCTGAAAGTATTCTACTTCGAAATGTCAATTTGTTATCTCAAATAAAAGATATCCTTTTGCAGGGGCCATTGTGTCAGCCCCCTGTTACGAGATGAGTTTCTCCAGATACAAACTCTGAGATGAAGTTGCCCGTGCAGCGAGCCCACTGGGGTGCTCTTGGGAACCACGCCTGTAACGGAGTGAGGAAAGCAGGACTTTGTGTGGAGAGGGGAGCTGTGGGGCAGCTGCCGATCCCACAGGAAACTCTGCAACTAGGATGGGTGTCAGCTCAGGGCCTCTGGGAAGCAGAGACCAAGGTGAGATGAGAGGAGAATGAGTTCATGGAAGAAACATTTGTGAAGGGTAAGGGGAGAAGGAGAAGTGTGGGCTGGAAGCTTCTGACCTGACCCCTGTGAAGGGAGAGAGGTTTGGGTTGAAAGAGCTTCAGTCTGCTCTGTGGCTGTCAGAAAGGTTCAGTTGGGCTAGTGGGGAGCCCCAGATGGCCCATTAGAGGAGTCCTGCATTGGGCCCAAATGGCCCAGCTCTGGTCCTCCCCCATCCGGTGCCCCTCCTCACACACCCACGCAGTGCTTGGTCATTGGCTGGGAGCCCCCTGGGGAGAGCATGGCCTTGGTGTGAATACCGCAGTAGATCCCAAAGGTTTGGAAGCGGTCAGACCCCTTCCTCACAGCAGGTTCTCTTAAAGGGAAACCTGAGCCCCCTGAGCCACCAAGAGCGGTGCAGAGAGGTCCCACATCCAGGTAAGGGGACCAGGCATGGATGAGGACACCCCCGCCCCCCAGGGAAGGCGCATCACGTTGGACAAGGCAGACCCCATCCTCCACCAAGGGCAGTTCCTGAGAAGGGACTCGACTGTGAGCCGTGAGCAGTCAGCATGCTGGGGGATGCGTCCCGAGGGGGATCTGAGCATTCCAACTGTCAAGCGTCCTGGAAACTTAATGGTCAGAGGGTTGTTTGCAGAATATTAAACTAGAGCCAAAGGAGATGGGTAACATTCAGGGGTATTTCATCAGCCCATGTTGCAATCTGACAAAATGTCTCTGTTCCTTAGAGAGGCACCTTCTTACTTAGTGGAAGGGCAAATAAAAGCAAAATTTGATTCTCTTTTTCTATGTTGGCATGATCATTTGAGACATTCTCTTATTCAACTACACAGATACTACATATTCATTGTGCAGAACACAATACAAACCACTAACACAGCATGGGCTATGTTTTTTCAGACCTTTGTTTTCATGTGTTTATATACATATGTGTGTATGTATGTATACACACACACACCTTTAAGGATTTTTAAATATATGGGATCATACTATACATATTGTCCTGAGACTTACTCTTTTAATTTAATTTTAATGTTTTGGAACTTTTTCCATGATGGTGCCTAAGACCTACTTCAGGTTTTTGGGGGTTTTTTTGTTTTTTGTGTGTGAGGAAGATTGGCCCTGAGCTAACATCTTTTACCAATCCTCCTCTTTTTACTTGAAGAAGATTGTCGCTGAGCTAATGTCTGTTACAATCTTTCTCTATTTTTATATGGGACACCGCCACAGCACGCCTTGATGAGTGGTGCTAGGTCTACGCCCAGGATCCGAACCTGTGAACCCCAGCTGCCAAAGTGGGGCATGCAAACTTAACCACTGCACCACCGGGCTGGCCCCTTACCTCAGTTTTTAATTGCTGCATAGTATGGCATTCCATATGGATTCCATAATGAATTGTGATAATTTGTTTAGCCACTTTTCAATTGATCATTTTTATTTTATATCATTACTCAAAAAAAATGCTGCACTGGCAATTCTTGTACATATATCTTCTGCAAATGTGTGCTTGTACTTATGGGATATATTGCTGAAAGTGAAATTGCTGAGCAAAAGGGAATTCTTATTTGAGATTTTGATGGATACTGCCAAATTGTCCTAAAAAGGATTGCACCAATTAACAGCCCCATCACAGGGTGCAGGAAGGCCCTTGCCCTGGAGCCTAGCGAGCACTGGATATTACCAGTTATTCTAATGTTTGCCAAAATTGGTCAAAAATTGGTATCCTTTATTTTCTTGGCATTTCCTTGATTACTAGCATTGTAGACTATTTTTTAATATTTTTGTAGGTTGTTTATAGATTTTTCTGTGACTTTTGTCTGTTTGTATCCCTTGTCAACTTTTTGACTGGGTTGTTTGTATTGTTGTTATTGATCTCAAGGTGTCCTTTATGATACAAATCATGTGTTATATACACTGAGACTATCATTCCCCAGTCTACGGCTTGTCTTTCCATCCTCGTTGATGGTGTCTTATGTTGAACAGAAGTTTTTAAGTCTTTCAGTTCACAAAAAAACCCATTCCCTCTTGCTGGGCGCAGAGCTAGACTGAACTTTCCAGCCTCTCTGGCAGTAGGCATGGCCTTGTGACTATGTTTTCACCACGGGATTTAAGTGCAAGTGATACGTGTCATTTCTCCACTAAGGCTTTTCAGAGGTTGACTTGTCTCACTCCTCACTGTCTCCCCTTCTAGCTGGTGGGGGTGGAGATGACTAGGTGACTTTGGAGGCCATGGTTGAAGATGGAAGAGCCTCCCTCAGCTTGTGTCCCCGAATGGCCCCATGGAGAAGGGCTCCCCCTCATCAGAAACACCCGCCTTGGACTGCTAAAGAGCAGAAATGAGTTTCTATTGAATTTGAGCCATTATGTACTTTGGAGACTTATTATTATAATTGCAACCAGCTTTAATTTAAATAATAAAATAATCAGTTATCAATATTTTTCCTTATGATTTTTATGTCCTCTTTAAGAAATCCTTCCTTGCTCTGAGATCATGATGATATTCTGCATTTTGAAAATTTTTGCTTTTTACATTACATGTTTAATCTGCCTAGAATTCATTGTTTTGGGAACGGTGTAAGGTGAGAATCTAATCTAATTTCTTCTTTATGGATAACCAGTTGTCCCCACACTGTTCATTAAACAGTCCACTCTTTCTCCATGGACTGCAATGCTACTCCCATCACTTATATCTGTATATTCCTGCGTTTATTTCTGGCTTCTCTCTTCTGCTCTATTATTGCATTTGCGTATTTCTAGGCTAATCATACCCTCTCTTGATTAGGATAGCTTGATAAGAAGTTTTCATATCTGGTAGGACAAATATTTCCACTTCATTCTGCAAAATCATCTTAACTAGGATCATCTTATTAAGTTCCATGAAAAAATCTATTGAGATCTTCCTTGGAATTGCATTGAGTTTATAGATGAAAATAGAGAAGAATTTACATCTTTTTAATGATGTCTTCCCATCCATGGACATTTATCCAGATCTGCTTTCATGTTCTCTCAATAATGTTTTATTATTTTCTCCATAGATATCACTTGCAAAGATTTATTTCTGTTTATCTTGAGTTTTTGTGTTTTTTTTAAAATTATGATTTGGGATCTTTCTGTTGCTTTTTTGTTTTTTAAGATTTTATTTTTCCTTTTTCTCCCCAAAGCCCCTGGGCACATAGTTGTATATTTTTAGTTGTGGCATGTGGGATGCCGCCTCAGCACAGCCTGATGAGTGGTGCCATGTCTGCGCCCAGGATCTGAACTGACGAAACCCTGGGCCACCAAAGCAGAGCGTGCGAACTTAACCGCTCAGCCACGGGGCTGGCCCCTTTCTGTTGCATTTTTAAATTATTATTGATATATAGGAATGAGATTCTTTTGCATATTTGATTTTATAACCAGAAACCTCCATAAACTCTCGTAAATGTTATTGGCTAGTTGATAGAATCTCTTGCATCTTCTAACAGAAAATAGACAATTTTCCCTCTTCCTCTCTAACGTTGAATAAAAGTGGCGACAGTAGGCATCCCTTCCCTGTTCCTGACTTTAATGGGAACAATTCTAAATTTTCACTTAAATATTATGTTTACCAATATTAGTTTCCTAGGTCTGCCGTAACAAAGGACCACAAACCAGCTGACTTAAAACGACAGAAATCTATTGTCTCCCAGTTCTGGAGGCTGGAGGTTCAAAATCAAGGTGTCGGCAGGGCTGTGCCCCCTCTGAAAGCTGTAGGAAAGAATGCTTCCTTGTTTCTTCCCAGCTTCTGGTGGTGGCTGTCAGTCCTTGGCTGCAGCTGCGTCACTCCAGTCCCCGTCTCTGGTCACACGGCCTCCTCCCTGTGTGTCTGTCTGTGTCCAGATCTCCCTCTCCTTATAAGGACACCAGTCATGTAGGGTTAAGGGCCCACTCTGCTCCAGTAGGGCCTCATCCTAGTTAATTACATCTGCAATGACCCCAGTTCCAAATAAAGTCACATTCTGAGGTCCTAGGGGTAGGACTTGAATACATCTTTTTGAAGGACAAAATCAACCCATAATACTACCATAAAGTTTGTGGGTTTTTTAGGGAGAAGAAGTAGAGTCTTATTAATTTTTTATTTTGAAAATTTTCAAACCCACGGAACAGTTATATAAACCCTCCTCTAGATTCACTAGATATTAACGTCTTACAACACCCGCTTCGGACACGCGCATGCTCTCTCTCCCTCTCCCCACCATCCTTTCTCTCTCTCTCTCTCTCTCACACACATATACACACATTGCCTCTGTGTTCAAAAGTAAGGTTGGTTTATAATTTTCCTCTTTTGTACTGTTTTCTTATACTTTGCTTTACTACAATCATAGAATGAATCGTACGGTTTTACTTTTTCCTTTTTTATGAATATCTACATAAAATAAATTATCAGTGTTTGGAAAGTTGCATAAAATTGGCCTATAAGCTATCTAGGCACTGGTATCTTTTTTGGTTTCCTCTTTAGCCTAGGTAGTTTTTAAGAAGTGACTTTTAAACTTTCCAAACATAA